GCGCCCCGCCAGAGACACACAAAACTTGTTTGAAAACTGGGCTTTTGTACTCTCTCGATATCAGTTGTTGAATATTCATTCATTGTTCGTTTGTTGCCTTAAAAGGTAATTCCCCTGCTTTGGAGGTGGATGTTACCCCCTGGTTGGGTGGATGTTATCTCCCCTGGGCTTGTACAGGGGGGGTCTTGCATCATCCTCAGCTGCAAGTCCTGGAGGGCCTCTCTGTATCCACATGGCACAGAGAAATGTATTTTTATTTATAATTTGTTCCCTGTTCCCGGCCGCAAAAGATTCCCTGGTGTTAGGTCCAGACAGGACCCTTCACCTTACAGACTCCACGGTACGCCTAGAAGTTAGTAAATATACAGAAATAGTTTTTTGTTAGTACCCCCTTTTGATTTTAATTTGCTTGGAATAAAAACCGGTGCTTTCACTTATCACACTCCCACCCCCCAAACCCTCCACAGTCCAACCTCCGGCTTGAACAACCCCCAAAATCGCACCTTTCGGACACACCCCTGTCCCACCAGTCCTTTTACTTCAAAAAGGGCTTTCTTTAACCATTTCTCACTTAAATAAAAATAAAAAGCTCTAAGTCTCTGGTTTAGATGTTTCAGAACTGCATGGCAGCCTCCAGCGTCTCTGAGAGCTTCGTGGCGATCTTCTCTGCAGGATTGAGGGGGGATCAGCAATTTTGGGGGGCATCAAGGGAGGGGTTCAAGGGGTGAGGAAAACGGGGTGTCTTCACCCACCTGCTCTTTTTTGCAGCTTTTTTCTCCTTTTCCCAGCTGCCTTCAGCCCCTGGCCCTGAAGCAGGGGGGGTAGAGCAGCCACCTCCTCCAGACTGGGGGCACGGGGCACCGAGTCCCCCCCGGAGCCCCCTGACTTCACCCGGGGCTTCAGCTCCACCGTCACCGCACCGAGCTGGGGGAGGGGGAGTGTCAAAATTAACCCAGCACCCCCTCCAAAAAACTCCCACCTCTGTGAATTTTTTCCCACCTCCAGGTCCTTCCCACTGTCGTCCTCCATGGCTACTCCTTCATCCTCCTCCTCCTCCTTGGGGGCACACGGGGACAGCCCCAGCCCTGTCACCGTCACTGGCACAGCTGAGGGTGGGCGGGCACGTGAGTTTTGGGGGGGGTCTCTGAGGGGTTCACAGAGGCGGGGGGGTCGTTGCTCACCTGCCAGGGCCTCGGCGTCCCCCCGTTCCAGAGCCTCCAGGTCCAGCTCTGGCCCCAGTGCCGGCAGGATTTGGGCCTCCAGCTGCACCCCCTGGGACTCGGGGGGGTGGGTGTAGTAGGAGATCTTCCCACTGCGGGAGGAGGGGGGAGGATCAGGGTGTGGGAACCCCAAAAAAAGAGGTCGCAGGGTGTGAGAGACACCCCCTTCCCAAAACAGGGGTCAGGGTGTGGGGCAGCCCCCGCAGCGTCCCTCAGCCCTCACCCACCTGGTCCAGTCACGCAGCAGGGCCACGGCAGCGGCGTGGGGGTCCGGGAGCCCCCCGGGGCGGAGCCGGCCCTGCCGCCGGGCCAGGTGGGACAGGAACTGCAAGGGGTCTGCGCAGGGGGGGACCCCGTAGAGCTCACTCAGCTGAAGGGGGGACACAGAGAGTCGGGAGGGGGCACACACGGGTCTTATTGCCCTCCCCAACCCCTTCTTTGGGGCCGAAATGGGGTGAAAATGCCCCCTCAAAATAACCCACGAGGATAAAAAGGAGTCCACACATACCCTTAGCCCCAGACCCACAGCTGAGCCCCCCCAAGGGTGTTCCCATCCTGGGGGGTCCCACGCACCTGCTGGGGGGGGCAGCGGCGCAGGATGGCGATGGCCGGGCTCAGGGGGTCCCGCAGGCGCTGGGGGGCCAGGGCCCCTCTCAGGGGGGCGGCAGCTGGGGGGTCCCCCGAGTCCAGGACCACCCCAGGACAGTCCAGGAGCTGGATGTGCCGGTCCAGCTGCACGGTCTGGAGGCACCTGGGAGGGAGAAAGGGGGGCTTTCTGGTGCCACAGCTCCTCACCTGTCTGGGACTCACCTGGTGACCCCCAGGTCACCCCCAGTCCCCTCCATGTCTGGGGCTCACCTGGTGACCCCCGGGGTCGCCCCCACCCCGCAGACGCGGCTGCGCTTGAGGCTGTTGATGAGGCTGCTCTTGCCCACGTTGGGGTACCCTGAGGGGGAGAAAAGGGGTTGGGGGGTCCCCAAAAATCCATCCCCCCTCCAGCCCCACTCACTGCCCATGTTGGGGTACCCTGGGGAAGGTGGGAGGAAGGACTTAGAGGGGGTCCCCAAAATTAACACCGCTCACCACCCCCAATCCTTCACAGCCCCACCCACACTGAGGTACCCTTGTTGAGGGGGAGGGCAGCGCTCAAGGGACCGGGAGACACACACAGCCCCCCAAAATTCAAACCCCTT